AGAACTTTCAGAAGTTTAGATTCTGAATATCAGCGAACTTTTCCTATAAATGGCGTATTTCTCACCATCAGGCAGGTTTTTTTTCCTTGATGTTCTGATGGGAGGCTCTGAGGAGCGTAGATCTACGGCAGCTTTGTTTATCTAATGTTGGATGTTGATCTGGAGGGTGTGGTTCTATCCTGCAGGTGGGCTGGTTCTGCAGTCCCTTATGGTGAACACATCTGTTAATCAGCTGCTATTCTATTTAGGCTGAAGGACGTTTAACCGCTGACAGGACAGATGTTTGATCTCTGCTTTGACTAATCTGTGTTTTTCTCACCCTGTCTTCCTGCTGGGGGGGGTCATCAGATGCCTCGTTCTGCATCCACATTCAGTCTGACTGAATCCACCAGAAACAGTACGGTGGTTCATCGCTCCAACTCTCTGGATCACCCCCCCCTGAAAGCCAGAATCCCTGTGTGCATCCGAACCCCCTGTACTCCGGCCAAAAGGCCGTCCTCCCACATGTTCTCTGAGTCCTCCAAAGGCCCTGATCCAGTTAACATCAAAGAGAACAAGTCCAGCTCAATAATCCCCCCCCCTCCACAGAAACCCGCTCTATCAGCAGCTGCCAGCTCCCCTCAGCTTAGCGATATCCAGGATGTCTGTAGACCGCTGCTTCCCGGAGCTGCGGCGCCTCAAACCGTCCACATGAAAACCAGGAGCTTTACGGATTGGGTCAGAGATCCGCAGACGGAGCCGTGCAGCGCCGTCCCCGCCAGTCCTCACCGAGAGACTCTGATCTAAAGCGCCGCAGAGTTCAGAGCATGTGAGCAAAGCTTCCCTGCTGTCTGAGGGTGACCTTCTGACTAAACCACACCCACTTTTTACTGGAAATAAACCAGCACTGGTGACGCTTCACACCCAAATCAACTCCTTAGAATCCCGGCCTCGCCACGGCCTCGCCGCCGCGGGCTTACTGCCGCCTCGCTGCAGTGGCCACACCACAGCCTCGCCGCCGTGGGCTTACTGCCGCCGCGGGCTTACTGCCGCCTGGCTGCTGCGGCCACGCCACGGCCTCGCCGCCCTCGTCACGGCCTCGCCGCCCCCGCCTGCGCCCCATCCATCTTCAGTGGATGCTCTGAGGACGTGAGAGACACGTGGCAGAGGCAGATTTTCAGGGTTGATTTGGGTGAATGTTTTCCCATGATTCCATCTGGTGGCGGTGTTCATCATCACTGAGGTTTTAGTAGAACCCTATTTATGACAGTAACCATGGAGACGAATGTTTGCTTTCTGTCTTTTTGATGATCAGAGCAGAACTACTGAATAAAATGTTGGATTCTTTCTTCTCCACTGATGGTTTTTAAACTTTACTGATGGATCAAAGGGGTTTTATCCAGGATTGATCATTTTACCTCAGAATAAAAAAGAACTAGTTATAGTTGAAATGAATTTCTCCCAGAAAGCAACCAAGAATAAACTCTTGTGATAATTAATTCCAGTAAAGGTTTCCAGGTTGACCCTCAGTCCCAGGATGCTGCTGCTGCTGATCGTCCTCCATCTTCTTTTCTGACCTTCTGTCTGGTTTTTCTTGGTGAACTTAGAGAAAAGTCTCATCGATTCATTTTGACTTTTTCTATAAACACCAGATAATTAATCTTTTAGTGAATGTTGGATGAATGAATGAACTCCTGCTCACCTGGTTGCCCCTCCCTGGCAGAGGCCCTCAGCAGCAGCATGCTCCTCCTATTCTCCTCATAAGCTTTGACTAAACAGGGTTTTAGATTTTTCCACTTTCTACACGCTGAAAATGTCCAAACTCTGTCTGCAGGCTCGCCACTCCCCCTCCATGGTCAATCTGCCCTCCATGTTTGAGAAGAGGTACCACACCTTCACCCGGTCGACCACCCACCTCCTCTGAATGCAGCTGGTTTGATCGACCCGCCTTCATCTACCAGCAAGATAAACTGCTAACAGCTGCAGCTCTGAATGTTCTACAGACAGGAAATGGACAGAATTCTGGAGGCGGAGCTTGTTAGCTGCAGAGACACTCTTTACAGACAGGAAATGGACAGAATTCTGGAGGCGGAGCTTGTTAGCTGCAGAGACGCTGATATTCTGCAGCATCAACCTTTTCAGTGTTACGATGAGAGGAAGAGGATGAAATGATTGTTCTTCATCTGGATGCAGGTTTAGGAGCTCAGTCAGGGTTCAGTCCACATCCATACCTTATCATTGGGGGGGGGCAGAAAACCCTGCAGCCTTAAAAAAAGAAATGAAGGAGACTGTTAGCTTTAGCTAATGTCCTAAATTAACGCAAACACCTTTGGTTCATCTGATTGCTTTTTCCCCTCTCCCTGTCGGACGTCCTCCGCCGGGGGGGACGGACGTCCTCCGCCGGGGGGGACGGACGTCCTCCGCCGGGGGAAGTCCTCCACAGTTAGCATAATTTTTCCCTTTTTAACTGACGTGTTGATAGTAAGCGTAGAGCAGGAGCACATAGATGCTAACGGTCTTCCTTCAGGTGTCTCTGGAATCAAACATTCGTTTGCTAATTTAATATTCGTTTCATATTTGAGGCTTTTCTGATTTTCTAATCTTCTGGAAATGAAAGTTTATTCCTTTTTTAAAGATCTTTTTTTGACAGACTTCTATATTAACTGACCTTCATGTTGACCTTCTGCCGTTTCCAGCTTTTATAAAGCTGTTCTATGTGGTTAAGAAGAATAAATCCGGGTAGGGAGGTTCTATCAGTGTACATATTTATTTTTATGAACAGTTCAGCTGTGGCTTAACTTTTATTTCTATTTATGTTCATTCCGATAGTGTCTGTCATTTTCTTTGGCTGTTTGATTTGTGCCTAGATATTTTATCTCACATTAAATGCACTTAAATATGTTTGTTTTTTTCCACTGTGTGTCGTTTGTCGCCGGCGTTGAAGAAAACTTCCTCCTCTCTAACGTAGAAGGCGCTGCCGGCTAAATCAGGCTAATTACTGCTGTCAAAATAAAATTCCTTCATTTTTGAAAAAAGGGTTTTATATTTTGTTGAGTGTTTAATTATATTTAGACGGGCAGCTGGAGGGCAGCCTGTGGGTGTGTTTGGTTTCAGAGGACCCGGTCTACCTGGACCTTTGAGGTCCCTGAAAATGAAGACGCTGGAGGACTTAAAGCTGCAGAACGTCCAGCTTTCACTGCCTGTACACTGTTGCCTAGCAACCGTGACGACTCAATGTTTTAAACAACTATTTTCATTTCAGACGGAACTTTTCACATACTTGGATTATATTAAACTGCACTTCCAATATTCACCACTGTTTGGCGCCATTTCCCCTTTTCCTATGGAAGCAAATCGTTACCATATTTCAAATGAAAACTTTTTCAGAAATGCTTTTTCATTTTAGGAATGTGGCTGCATTGTTTGATAAATGAAATTAATAATCCTGTTTTCATTTCCTTTAACGCTGCTCATCCTTTTGCATTTCTGGCAATGCTTTTTCCTTTGAAATATGGTAACGATT